AAAAAAAAAAAAAAAAAAAAAAAAAAAAAAAAAAAAAAAAAAAAAAAAAAAAAAAAAAAAAAAAAAAAAAAAAAAAAAAAAAAAAAAATCTGAAAATCCGAACTTTCCGAAAATGTATGCAATTTTTGGCTCTGAGGGCTCATATTAGGCCCCCAAAATTTACCACATGGTCAAAATTGGTAGTTTAAGTAATCGGAGGCTTAAAATATGCATGTTTAAGAAACTTGGGCATTATACCCAGGAGGAAAACAATTTTTTAAATAATATGACGGGCCTTGCTATGGGTCATTTGGCTATTTTAGCCCAAAAATACCTTTAAATCGACTTTATTTTCCAGGAGCTCGACTCAGTAGACACTCTACTTCAAGAACCTGAAGAGTTTTTGCTTGTGACTCGTCAAAAAATTTAAACTCGTTCAGACCAATCGTGTATGGTTAGTGGTGTTAAATGCTGTTTATTGTCAGTAACAGAGTGGAGATTTGCTAAACAGTCAATTGTGCCTACTAGTTTTACATATGAGTTAAACTATCCAGCTAGTTATTAAGAATTTTAATCACTTTTGTGCATCAAAGATGGATTCTTAACTAATTATTTAAACCTGTGGTTATTTTTAATAGATAACGCTGGAAGGCCGAGCAGGGGCTCTATCAGCAATGCACAGCTTATTGATTCACTGCCCCGAGTTGGTAACTGACGATATCACCAAACGTCTTCTCATACCAATTGAATCAGCCCTAGCAATGTTAACAAGGTACGTAAGAAAATGTCTATGAATTTGTCTACATTTTGGAATTGGGAACTACAATCTCTGGCTCAGTTTAGAAACAAGGTATGTACTATTAGTTTCCCTATGTACGAAAGTGTTTTGACGAATGAGCCAGAATTTGTAGTTCCTAATTGCGAAATGAAGTCCAACTCTTGTAGACTGTTCTGCGGTGTTACCGAGAGAGCTGTAACGCTCTAACTTTCGAAATTCAGTTTCCTTAAAAAATTTGTCGTACCGAATTTAGAGGAACTCACTAATTCAGTTTAAACAGCCAAATTTTTTCTTATTTTGTATAAAAACGACACTCTTCAGATAGCACCAAGTGTGCTTAAATAGACTGCATTTTGCAATCAGGAATTACAATTTCTGGCTCATCTGTAAAAACACTCATGTACATAGGAAAACTATTGATGTATACATTGTTTCTGAATTGAGTCATAAATTGTACTTCCCAATTACAAGATAAAAATAGATTGATTTAGTGGCTACATCATTGGTTTAAACCAAACAACCTCGTTTCCCCATTTTGTGTGAGTTAATTGTTTTAATTCAACATAATAAGTGATCAAAAGGTTGTAAATCAATTTAGGACTCATTAAACACGAGAAATTTTGACTGCAATTAACACTCAGACGCATTTTACCACCATGGCACGAATCAGAGGCGAGGTTATGTGTTCGTTTACAGTTGAACCATGATGTAGCCACAAAATCAGGTTATTGATATTGTTTCATACAAAACAGCAGTAAAAATTGTTATCAAGGAAAAGGAGAAATGAGAAAGATTTTGAAGGAGGAAAGAAAAAGAATAAGCAAAAGTAAAGAAAAAGTCGAAGAAAATGAAAAGGGAAAGAAGAAGAATATGAGATTGACATGATTGGATCAAAATAAAAGAACGTGAATTGATTGACATGGATTCAATGGACAAATAGTGAAAAAAATTGGTTCTTTTTTTGATCAAATTATGTTGATTGAAACTTTCCTGATCTATTGCTCCGGTAAATTACTCAAGTGAAGGAATCATCAACTGTCAAAATCACTAATTATTGTGAAGCATGCAGACCCTTAATTTCAGTCACAAGCTTTTTGCTAGTATTTTGAATTGTTGCTAAAACTTCAAAGGCTGATACCAGTGCCGTAAGAACGCACTTGGACTACATTATGCAATAAAAAAACCACTATTCCTGGCTCACTTTAAAAACAACGTTTGTGCCATTACTTTTCGTATGCAAATGATCACTTTTGTGGGTGAGTTAAAAGTAGTAGTCCTTTTTTTTATTAAGTATCGTACAGGTTATGTATGATGCTAGCAGACCCATCCTAGCAGAAAAATTTCTTGTCTCGTCTAAAACACTTGATTTCATTTTTTATCCAGCTTCATTGACCAGAAAAAAACAGAGAATGTAAAATGTAGAAACCTATAGTATTGGATGTAACTTGAACTTATCGGGATCCTAAACTTGCTTTTAATTCATTCAGTTTTACCCTTCCCCGGAGAGTCAGGACTTAGGCGAAAAACGCATCCAACCTGAAATGCCTCTTCGTCAAATATTCCTATGATGATATGATGATATGATGATATTTCTTCATGATTTTGGAAGTCGAAACTCTCAATTTTTAAAAATTAATCGTGGCTTTTGTAAAGCCCAGTTGTGGAAACGGTCATCGTAAGTGTTTTAGTTCCCTTAGGACTACAGGATCCCAAAATATCAGCAAAATCATCAGCAAACACCGTGGATCCTGTCCTTAAGGTTTGAGTTGCTTCAGAAGAACTCAAGTACGTTTTTCTCAAGCTTATGCAGAGTTTTAAAGGAAATCTTGATCACTTAAATTGAAATCTTATTTAAATCTTAATCTCATTGAAGTTATCTTTATTATCTTTAATCTTATTAAAATTTAATTTAATTGAATTTTAATTCATTTTATTTATAGAAATATTTGCTAGAATAATTTTCAAAAGAGAGGAAAATTATAAAATCCAATGCTTCAAATTTTAACGAGAAGTACATTTAAGTTCATGGATTGCTCCCCTGTTTTTTTGGTTTGTATATGATCACCCCTCCCTCAGAGGAAAGGCACTGGTCCAACATTATGGGAAAAGTGGGCCCGGTTAAATCAGCTGGTTTCTTGATATATTAAAGGTCTTAACCTACTGATCAAAAGTGTCAATGGACGTTTCTTCAAATCTCAAAGTTTTATCACCCATTTTGAGGGTCGAAGTTCACAATTCAGCATGTGATCAGCAGCGGTATGACAATTTAGCGGTAGTTATGACACCCAGGTTCATTCGTGGCATTTGAGATTCTCTACTGTTTTGTTAAGTCTACTCTATCCTCTGAATAGGCTAGAGACCATCCGAATTAAAAAACAGCAAGCTCGCCTCCCTTAATCCAGTGAAAGCATTAAGGGTTTGATCAAGTATTGCGTAAGGACTGCCATTAGGAAGGATCTCGATGGACCCATCGAGACGCAGTCAGCCTCATTGCCATAAAAAATTCTCCAAAAACATGGCATAAGTATCGGTTTGATGCGATTCGCGCAAGCCAGTTTCACTACTCGAGGTTGGTCGCAACCTGCCCCCCCCCCCTAGGGTGTACCTTATTTTTGAGTTTTGCGAGAATCATGTTGGTCAACCCCTAAGATTTCTATGTAGTGTCTAAATGAACTCCCTAAAAGGAAAAAAATTTTAACCCGTGCTTCGAAGGGCCTAAATCCAAAATTCAAAAATTTTGGCAAGCGACATATCAATTCTGAGGGCAAATCGCAAGTTACGGTTCTTTCGGCAAAAATTTCGTCGGTTTTGGCGTATCTTGAAGCCTAGGGTCACAAACAGCCCAATGACGACGTGAGGCTATGGGCCGGCGCTGAGCGCGCGCGCAGGGTTGCGCATCGCGGCATTGCACCGGCATAAAGAGGAACGGACGGCGGGGTGGGAGGGGGATATCCGGTGGAAAAGCATCCACATTTTCTATCCATAATGAAAATGCATTATGCTTTACCAATATAGATGAGGAAATATGAGCCATACAAGGAAGTGATGAAAAGAGTGACAAATAGTTTATACGATTAGGAGTGTAAGTGGGGAAAATTTGCCATAACTACAGAACAGCCCTGAAAATCTCCGAGAAATAAAAGCTGCTATTTTCAACACATCTGATGATCATCAAAACAGAAAATCCTCACCCACGGGAAGTACCGGAAACCACTGGTATATGACTAATTAGAAAGATATGTGCGATGTTGTTGAACAGTAAGCCCTTTACGCGATCAAATGCGGTTACTGTAAATTTAATTGGAAAAGTTGAAGAAAGAAAATTGCCCCAAATTCGGGAAGGGCTCCAAGTGTATTTCTATCATGTGAAGTGTTTGCATATGAATGTGAATGACAGTGCGTGGATAACCTTTGATCTGGTAATTCCAATATGGAATGAAAAATGTAGAATCCGTGTAATACATACAGTGTCCATGGTTTTAAAAAAAAATTACATTTTTATAAGGAGTGGAGGCGCATATCAAAAAATGCTAGCCGTTGATCGCCGGTTCAAGAGAAGTTGGAGACTGATTTTACGGCAAAAATCGAAGTGATATTCAATATTGCTCTAAGCAATGCTCTAGATCTCATGGAAAATGACGAGGATAAAGCATTTTTAATTCTTCGGCGAAAACCTGAACGAGTAGGCATAATATCCACCATGAAGCAGCCTCTTCTTGCAGCATAGGAGAGGAGAGCAGACTAGAAGAAAGTTTGCGAACAGGAGAGAGTTTCCAGACAGTAAAAATTCAAGCTCGCCTATGAGTCTCACCAAACGGAAGAAAGTATAATTTTTTTCATTTCATATGAAATTATTGAAGGTTGCATGTATCATTAAGACTCTGTTTACCCTCCTTTTCATTGGTGCATTTGACGCGGCATCAATTAGAAATGGCGATCAGTAATTTATATGTAAATTTTCATTTTTTTTGGGGGGGGGGAGCATTGTATTAATTCTATGAATGAATAATCGAGGAGCGCAGAAGACAAGGCCCATGAGTGCGTGCCGCTTTTTGATGCCGCGTCAAATGCACCAATGAAAAGGAGGGTAAACAGAGTCTTACTGATACATGCAACCTTCAATGATTTCATATGAAATGAAAAATAGTATACTTTCTTCCGTTTGGTGAGATTCATAGGCGAGCTTGAATTTTTACTGTCTGGAAACTCTCTCCTGGGCGCGAGCTTTCTTCTCATCTGCTCCCCTCTCCTCTGCTGCAAGAACGGTACCCTTCACGGGGCAATACTGCGATATTATGCCCACCAGATCAGAGGTTTTCCACGCACTGTCATTCACATTCATATGCAAACACTTCACATGATAGAAATACACTTGGAGCACTTCCCGAATTTGGGGCAATTTTCTTTCTTCAACTTTTCCAATTATATTTACAGTAACCGCATTTGATCGCATAAAGGGCTTACTGTTCGACAACATCGCACCTATCTTTTTAATGTCATATACCAGTGGTTTCCGGTACTTCCCGTGGGTGAGGATTTTCTGTTTTGATGATCATCAGATGTGTTGAAAATAGCAGCTTTTATTTCTCGGAGATTTTCAGGGCTGTTCTGTAGTTACGGCAAATTTTCCCCACTTACACTCCTACTCGTATAAACTATTTGTCACTCTTTTCATCACTTCCTTGTATGGCTCATATTTCCTCATCTATATTGGTAAAGCATAATGCATTTTCATTATGGATAGAAAATGTGGATGCTTTTCCACCGGATATCCCCCTCCCACCCCGCCGTCCGTTCCTCTATATGCCGGTGCAATGCCGCGATGCGTAACCCTGCGCGCGCGCTCAGCGCCGGCCCATAGCCTCACATCGTCATTGGGCCGTTTGTGACCCTAGGCTTCAAGATACGCCAAAACCGACGAAATTTTTGCCGAAAGAACCGTAACTTGCGATTTTCCCTCAGAATTGATATGTCGCTTGCCAAAATTTTTGAATTTTGGATTTAGGCCCTTTGAAGCACGGGTGAAAATTTTTTTCCTTTTAGGTAGTTCATTTAGACACTACATAGAAATCTTAGGGGTTGACCAACATGATTTTCGCAAAACTCAAAAATAAGGTACACCCTAGGGGGGGGGGGGGTGTTAACGC